CGCGTCCCGGTAGCCGCCGATGCCCTCGTCTACGGCCACCAGGCGCAGCGAGATGCCCAGGCGGGGCGTGAGCTCGCGCAGCACGTGCGCCAGCACGGTGGAGTCCTTGCCTCCCGAGGCGCCCACGGCCACCACGGCGCCGGGCGGCAGCAGGCGGCCAGCGAGCACCGTGTGCAGCACCTCGGCCTCGAAGGCGGTGCAGAAGCAGGGGCCGCACAGCGCGCACCCCGAGCTTGGACGGCGGAGGGCGGCACGTGCCGCATGGCAGGAAGAGCACGGCGGGGCGGGCATCACGGGATGGGTTGGCTTCTCCTGGACTGGGAGAGAGGGGAGGTTACATATGGATTCCGAATCTGGGGAGGCTGCCCGGATAGCGCCCCTGCACGGAATAGACAGAGACAGGTGTGTGGGGGTGGAGTAGCTTCTTCCGGAGCTGGGGACTGGGCGGGTTACACATGAATTCTGGCATAAGGAGGCCACTGCCTCCGGAAAGCCTTCTTGGATTGCACCCGCGTATCAAGAAGGAGCCTAAGGAGTGGGTTTCGGGGGAAAGAGGGAGAGACAAGCAGGTTATACCCAGAATTAGGTTGTATCCTGTCCAAAGGGATGGGGGTGTATATTAATTACACAGCCTCCAAGGCGGCCACCCTTGCTAAAGCCCTTATTAGAGGGACAGAGTAGATATCATTGACCTAGACCTCCAGGCCTGTTCAGCGAGCTTGGGAGGGGAGGGGTCAGCGACTCTTAAGGACAGAGGGAGGCCAGGGGACTGCAGCTCTGTTTGGGGAAAGGTGGATAAACCATAAAGAACAACTGGATTTCACTTTGGGGAGTGGAATACTGTTTCCAGTAATGGGTCCCGATTGCATCCCCTGGAAGGCTGAGGGATCACCTCCTCCGGGGAGAAACAGAGGCGGTCTGATCCCACCTCTAAGGAGACCAGCTGGGGTTGCACCTGTTTTGGGGTGGGGTGTGTGGAACTTCAGGATTGAACCCTGCTCTGGTATCAGAATCCCCCACAAGCTTCTGAGGCCTCATCACGACATAGATCAGCCCACCCTTGACTCCTTTCTGTTCTCTCCTTTCCTGCCTCATCATCCCTTCTCACCCAGCCAGGACTCCAGCCCTCCAGCCACAACCTCCTTGGTTCCACCTGCCTGATGAGCTCATGAAAACTCACCAGTCTCAGTACCCTGTCCCTAAACCACCATCATCTCCAGTCTGGACTACCACAGTAGCCTCTTTACCATTCAGAGCAGATCATGCTCCTTTTAGAATTTACTACAATATGTGGAAGTATCTTATGAGACTGTATATTTATGGCCCGTAACTTCCATGAGGGCAGGAACCACTGCCACTCAGATGTCTAACAAGCATCTCAAAACCCAAATTTCTGATTCTTCTAACCAAACGGGCTTCTCCTGCAGTAAAAGGCAGTTCCATCCTTCCAGTTAGTTGCACAGTAACCCAGGACCCTGGACTGCTCTTTCGCCACTCTTGTCACTCTTCCTGTAGATGGCTGTAGATCACAATGTCAAGTCCTCACCACAATGTCGAATCCTCTCCACATACCCCATTGGAGCATCTTCAAACCTCAAACTCCCGGTGCCCAAACCGAACACAGCAAATCCTGTCTGCCTGTATCTTCAAAACAGATCCAGAAGCCAAACACTTGTCACGCTCTCCACAGCTGCCACCCCAGTCTGAGACATCTCTCTCCTGGACTTTTGCAGGAGGTCCCTCACTGGTCTCCCTGCCTCCACCTCCCCTCCTGTACACACACTCTTAACAGCCAGCAAGATCCTGCCCAGTATCTTCTCAACATCCCCCCATAGCTCTTGTCTCACCTTAGTAAACGCTAATGGCCTGTGAGGCCTTATGCAGTCCCTCTCCTTTTTTCTCTGACCTCGCCTCTTCCTACTCTATTGGCCATGCTGGCCTCTACTCTCAAAACACCCCAGGAACACTCCTGCCTTCAGGTGTTTGCACTGGTTTCTCCCTCTACCAAGTGTACTCTTTCCTGTCACTGAGCCCAACATGCAGCCCTCAGGACCCATGTGCGGTGACCAGGCACATCTGTCACAGCTGAGCAGTGCCCCTTGAAATCTTTTCCCTCTGGGCTTTTCATTCAATCTTCCCTCTACCCTTCTGGATTTTCTTCTTTTGCTCAGTCTCTTTTGAGGAGGCCTCTTCACGTCCTCAGGTTCTACCCAGTACCTAGCTTCCCATCTCCTTGTGGGCGGCTCTGAATCATGATATCCAGATGTCCATTCAGGCTGGTTCTCCAAATGCCTCACTGGGGATCCCTGATGGGTACCTTTCAGACCCTCAGACTCCCAGTGCCTAAGCAACCTGTTTTTTCCTCACAATGCAGGAACTTGTTCTTGCCCAGCTGTTTCCTGAAAGCAGCCACCACCTCCACCCAGCACTTCTGCAGGACGGGAACATAAAGTCACCTCATCTCTCTTCATCCCCTAAATCTATAGTTACATGGTCTGCGGGGTCCACATCCTGAGGGAGGAAGACCCTGGCAGGAGATGAAGTTGTACAAATTGGCAGAGCCTCATAGGCCATGATGTGGAATTTGAGTTTTGTTCATGGTAAAAGATGAGAGCCATGGGAGGGTTTTGAGCAGAGGGGGGATATGATCTGAAGGTTTTAAAAGGATTTCTCTGGCTACTGTGTGGAGAAGACTGTTGGGGGTAAAGGTGGAACCAGAAGGCCAGTGAGGAATCTGTGGCAGTACTCGGTGAGAGACGGTGGTGGACTGGACAGGGGTTGTGCCAGTGGAGGTGGGAAGAAATGGCATTTTAGATCTGTTTCTTGAAGGTGGAGTCCTTAGGATTTGCACAAGACTTGGATTGGAGTGGGGAGTGGGATGATAAAAAAAGGAATGAAGGATAACTTTGAGGTTTTGGCCTGAGCACTTGGGAGGATGGCTGGGCCATTTAGTGAGGGGAGAAGGCTGGGATTACAGGTTTGGGGAGAAAACCAGGAATTCCTTTTGAACAGGTTAGGTTTGAAGTATCTGTTGAGCGTCTGCCCCTCAAAGACTTTATGAACCCCAGACTGGGCCAGCTGCCTCCACTGGGCTCTGAACTGCTTATATGTCTGCATCTCAGCTCTGATCCTGACTGGCTGTCACTGGTCACAGGCCTGTCTCTCCCACTTAGCTCCAAAGGCAGGGACAGGGTTCCCTCGTCCACCCCCCCCCATCCCCCCGCCGTCTTGCAGAGTCGGTGCTTAGTAAATATCTGTAGGATGGAGAACAGTAAATGCACACAGAAGTCAGGCCGCGGACCTCACGGATGCCTCCAGAGTGCAGCCCTGTCAGAAGGACGAATACTGTGATATCTTTCTATTGGGACAGAGGTTCTAGAGTAGGGGCCTCCCGGACGTACCCAGCTGAGGGTGGGGGCAGTCAGACGGTCTTATCCCGACCTGGTGAAGGCCTGGCAAGCCACAGGCCGGACCGCACTGTCCAAAGTGGAGAGGATCTTGGCCAGAAGGCCTCTGGAACATAGGCGTTGGGAAATCACAGAGGCGAGTGTCACCATCCCCAGAGAGACCCTCAACCCTGCCATGGGATCGCAACAAGGCGCCGGCGCCTACGCGCCGAGCCGCCGCGGGAGGAAATACTCACCGGGGCAGAACGCTGTGCGGGACGCCCTAACGCTGCCGACCTCGCGGAAGCCCGGCACGGAAGTGGCTCCGAGACTACGACTCCCACAAGGCTTCGGGGCTGTCCTGCCTACGTCTCCAGAAGCGCGCGCAGCAGCAACTCCACAGGCGACTGCGGCCGGCTCCCAGCTCCCAGGAGCCCTTGCGGCCCCTCCTGCCTCCCGCCTACCGCTCCCCAAACGGTGGGCCCCCGTTCCCTGTGTGCGCCTGCGCGCGGAGGCGGCGCTGCGGGGCTGCGGGCGCTGTTGTTCCTGCGGCCGCGGGCTGTCACCGCGCGGTATGCTGGACAGGCGAGGTGGCCGCATTTTGATTTCCTGGTTTTGTGGGACTATTATAGGCGTTTAAAGGGATTACAGACCATATAATTTCTACCCTTTAAGGTGGGATGGCGGGTGGGAATGGAAGGTGGGTGTGCAGGGGTTGGTCGCAAATGTAAAACGCGGGAGGTAGCGCATGCGCAGGGTAGAGATGCCGAGGATAGGGGCTTGGAATGGGTCTGTGCGAGCCCTGCAGGGGTCGTAGCGGTGCGCGTGCGCAGGTCGAATGGAGGAGGGAGCCGGGTGCGGGCTGAGGGACTCTGACCGTGTGTATCAGCTGTCAGCGATTTGGGGGGGTCTCTGGATGTGCTCTTGGCTCTGCGTAGTGGGTGCGATTGAGGTCCACTGAGCAGACGTCGGGCCGTGAAACGGGTACCCACTACTTTCACGTGGAGCTAGAGGTGGAGCTTGAGAACGGAAGACAGGTGACAGAAGTCTAGAGACCCTAGAGACCCCGACTTCTGAGACAGGGATCCAAAAGCTCAGAACTCTGAGAGCCAGTACTTCCTGGGCCCAGGGTCATGGAGACCCAGAGTTCCAGTTACCCAGGGGCCTGGAGACCCAGACTCTTTAGATGGAGGGGTCCAAAGCGTCGAGGACCTTTTCCCCCAACCCAGGAGCCTAGAGGCTCAGAGACACAGACACCTGAGACAAAGGGGTTTGAAGATTTAGACCCCTTGGGACCCAAGCAGCTGAGTGAACCAGGGCCCTAGAGACCCCCCTCTTCCCAAGACACAGGGATCTGGAGAATCTTCCACCTGTCCCTCAAAGGCCAAAGACCTTGGAAGCCCTGGAGACTCAAATTTTAAGGCCCAAGAGTTCAAAAACTCAGATCTCTGAGGACCATGAGATCTAGGACTGAAACTGAAGCCCTTGAGACCTAGGGTCCCCAAACCCAGGTCCCCACAAAACTGGAGTTCAAAGTTCCTCAAGATGAAGGGACCAGAGCCTCAGAGATCCAAAGACTGAGATGTGCAGAGCCCCAGAGTGTGTGGGTCTATGGTGCGTGATGACCTGAGAGAGAACCCACATGCAGTGTGTAGCCTATGACAGGGGAACCATGTTGCCTTTGTTTCAGATTAGATGACCTACATGAGGTCACCATTAAGCGTCATCATGGACCACTTCTGTTCATCTATGCTCTTTGGTTTATTTGTTGAATTCATTTACTGAGATCTTGTGCCAGGCTGGCCGTGTGCTACGTTCTGGTGAGGCAAATGAATCAGACCTGGTCACTGTCCTCTGAGCCCCACTTCTGGTGGGGGAGACAGGAGCACATTCAATGTGGAGTGATAAAGCTTGACATGGAAATGTTAGGAACCTTGGGAGCTCAATTTCTTTTTTTTTTAAAAGATGACCGGTAAGGGGATCTTAACCCTTGGTGTTGTCAGCACTGCGCTCTCCCAAGTGAGCTAACTAGCCATCCCTATATATGGATCCGAACCTGTGGCCTTGGTACTATCAGCACCACACTCTCGCAAGTGAGTCGCGGGCCAGCCTGGGAGCTCAGTTTCAATCACTGCCAGCCAGGGCATCAGGAAAAAAAAATTCAAAATTACTATGTGTCAGGCACTGTGCTTAGCACTTTACATGCATGGTCTTAGTTTGCTCATCTGTAAAATGGGGATGGATAATAGCAATGCCTGCCTCATAGGGCTTATGTGAAGTCAGATTGAATTAACAACACCTATGAAGAATTTAGAACAGTGCCTGGCATATAGAACATGGTCAACAAATGGTGATTATTCTCACCTCATGTAATTCTCATAATGTTAATATTACATGTTACACATGAAGTGGGTACTACTATAATTTCTACTTAAAAGATGAAAAACGTAAGCCTCAGAAATAAGCCACTCCCCCAGACTGCCTGACTCTACAGCAGGGGTTGCAAACTTTTCCAGTAAAGGGCCAGATAACAAATATCAAAGCCAAAAGGGCTTTGTGGACCATAGGGTCTCTGTGGCAACTCTGCTGTTGTAGGGATGACATAGATATGATGTAAAAAGTGAGGGTGGCTGTATTCCAATAAAACTTTATTAATGGACACAAATTTGAATTCCATGTATTTTTCATGTGTTAGGAAATCCTATTCTTTTGATTTTTTCCAGCCATTTAAAAGTGTCAATGGTTGGTCATTTACAAGCATCATAGCACATTTCTGAGGGCTGGTCCCTGCACCAGTAGCTGGAGGGCCATGTGAAAACAGCAGGCCACGTGTGGCCCGTGAGCTAGTTTGCTGATCTCTGCTCAAAAGCCCCGTTCCTTAGTCTCCAACCTGTGCTTCCTCCTGGAGGTGTGCTGTGTAGATACACCTTAAAGGAAGTCTAGAATTTGAGGGCTGGAGTGGTCTTTTAGTCAAGAAATAGCCTGAGCAAAGAAAGGTCTAGTGACAGGAAAGTACAGGATGTGTTTTGTTTTGTTTTCTTTTATGTTATCTAAACAGGTTATGCACTTAAGTGCTTATAAAACCAGAAAAGGTAGAACAGAATCTACAGTGAGGTCACCTCCCCACCCCCATCCCTGCCACCTAGTTCCCCTCTGCAGAGGCAGACTCTATTCTGCAAACTGTCTGGGACCTCATTCTAAATCAGGGTGCACAGAGCTTCCCTTTTCTCCATTCTGGGGCTGGGATAGGAGTGGGGTGTCTGGGATCCCAGGGACAGATGGGAAAAGAGGTGAGGTCAGCCATGAGAAGCCCCCTCATCTGTCAGACCCTGCTGTTTAGTTTTTTCCCTTTCCCCCAACAATTTCTTCATGGGTACCAGTGGCCTCTTCATTGACAAATAAATGATCGCTTTGGGCTCCACCTACTTCCTTGATTGTCTTTGCCCTGCCTACAAAACCTACCCTCTCTGGTCATATGTCTCTAGCTAAACTATATGAATCAATTTCTCAGGATCCTTGTTCACCACAGCTCTGTCCTTTCTGTGCAAGCTCCCCAGGTGAGCTCATTCACTCTCGTGGCTGCAACTTCCATCTCTGCCCTGACGTCTCCCCACCTTTCTGTATATCTCAGTCGCATCCTGAGACCTAGACCTGCACAGTTAGCCATCGGTGAAGGCACTTCCCTCCCTCAGCCCTTCGATCACTCTAGCTGCCTCCTCTCACCCACCACACCTCGTGGTTCAGTGAGTCTTGCAAATTTCACTTGTTTAAAATTTCTCAAATCTTTCCCTTCATCCCCATGGCCCCTGCCCCAACTCAGCCCTCAGCCTTTCTTGCCTGGATTCTCACCTGAGCCTCTTCTTTGGCCTCCCTTCCTCTGATCTCCTTCACTCCTGAATCTTCTTGCACAGGCCTCAGATCTAATCTTGTCTCTCCCCTTCTCAGAACCCTTCCATGGTTCCTAATTGCTGTCAGGGTAAAGTCAAATCTTCTCAGACTGCACTAAAGGCCCTGTGTGATCTGATTTCTGTCCACCTTTCCAGCCTCAACATGCCTTGTCTTCTGTGGGGTCACTTAGCTGCCATGCTGAGTGATCACTATCTGGAAGAAGAGATGATGGCTTGGCTCAGCCCTGCCTGGTCTCTGTCTCTTTCCAGCCCTGGAGGCTTTGATCCATGCAGCAGCATCCTGCACCTCTAAGGGATGGTCTGTGCATCTGGTCCCTGTCACTGAGCACTTGCTTCCACCCTTCCCAGTGCTCAGACATGTGGGGTTGGAAGGTGCCCTGGAGAGTTCTGGTGAAGATGGCGGAATAGACGGTCCCTAGTGTCACTCTCTCCCACAAATCAACCAATTTACAACTATAAAAATGTAATATCAGCCAAGCTGGGGCCGCTGGAGCTCAGGGGAAGAGGAGGAGAGACCTACAGAGTTCATGAAGGTGGGAGAAATCATGTGAGAGAAAGAAAATACTGCTCTGAGTGTTTCAGGCTGCGGCCGCTCTAACACTGGAGCTAATGAGCGCATAGAGCAGGAGTCAGCCAAAGCCACAGCTGTGCCCGTTGGATGGAGTTACTTGGAGGCAGCAGGGGAGAAGGGGGCCTTGGTGGCCCCCAGGACAGCAAGACCACTAATAGGGTTCCCGTGGACTGACGCAGGAGTGAGGAGCCAGAAAAACTGAACAAAGGGAGCCACTCAGAGGCTGGTGAGTCATCACAGGGGACTGGTGCAGGGCCTGTCCCATGGGAAGTGTTTGGAGCGTGGGGGGTGGGGGAGATGGGCCCACTGGGGGAACACTGGGACACAGCAAGGATAGCTGATCCACCTCCAATCAGCACAAGTCAGGAATGCAGAATTGCATTCGGTGCAGTTCGATGAAAAAACTAAGGCCCAGATCAGAGTTTCTACACAGCCCAGATCCACCGGGTCTCTGGACGATCCACCTCCAATCAGCACAAGTCAGGAATGCAGAATTGCATTCGGTGCAGTTCGATGAAAAAACTAAGGCCCAGATCAGAGTTTCTACACAGCCCAGATCCACCGGGTCTCTGGACAGCTGGAAGTACCTATAAGGTCAACCATTAAACCTTGAGCTGCACAAAAAGCCTTCCCTAGGGAAGCAGCAGCAAAGCAGCAATTTAACCACAGCTCAAGTACTGGTTCCTACAGGAAGTTCGCCTATTTCAGAAGTAAGCAAAGGACAAAAAATTAGTCCCGGTCCAGGCACACCACCAGCATCTTGGGGCCCACCCAGGGACCGGAGGCATGGAGAAGGGGACTGGACCCCCCACCCCCCCACAACCAGGCACACTGTG